GAAGAGAGTTGCTGGACCACCACCAAATCTCCCCCACTGGAGACAAGAGCCCATCTGCTGAGCTCGGCAACTTCGCTTTAACTACCATTCAGCTCGCGTCTCTGCAGAGATCTGTCTGCAGAGCTGGCAGATGGACCCCTGCTTCCCCGAGTCGCTGTGTTATTTGTTTAATAAATTTAATTAATATCCATACTGCATTGGATTGCTCCCAGAAAAGGGGTCGAAGTGCTCCCTTTCCCCAACAGCTACATGATGAGTGATTTCCCAGAAAAGAGCAGATAACAGTGCCCTGGACCACTGAAAAATTAAAAGTGCCATGTGCTTACACTACTTTGCATGTATTAATTTTTGCAGTGCACTAATGTACTTCTGACAGGTATTTTAGCCTTATGAAGACATGCAATTCACAAAAAAGGCTGAGTATCTCTTCTTTGAGATCACTTAGATTTGTTGGAATGTTTTTAAAAGAACCCTATGGAATCACACATTCAACATTTTTATCTATTTCTATAAAATGGAGGGCCATGAAGGGTAAGGAAGTGGAAAACAGCTAGTGGCCACTTTTAACAAACTGAAAATTTTCCCGGTCATATTAAACTTGTATTATTTCCCAAGCTGGAAAAATGTGACTATTGCAAACATACAGAATGGAAAGGGTCTTGGACAAAACCATGGCAGTAACATGCTCCCTCTTTGTTGAGTGGAGTCCCTGCAATCAATGAGTATGAATTAAAGCAGTGTTACACTAACCTTTCTATTCAATGTCATTCTGTCCTTCTAGGCAGCTAATTTCATCTTAACCTAGATTTCCCATAGTATATACTTTTTAAAAATCCCTTGAGGATGTAAAAGGTGTCTCATGAAAAAAGCATTCTTTCCTCAATAAGTTTGGGAAATACGTCAAGAAAGGGTAAATAGGTTTCTTTCCTGCAGGCCTTCTCTGAGCCTTTAATGTGGAAATAGGCATTGTAAATATTCCTACAGAAGGGGAATGGGATTCAATATAAAAGGCACCACTTTCCAAAACCCAAGCTCGTTTTATATGCCAGAGCCTAATACAGGGCATGGCAGATAGTGGTACTCATTAATACTTGTTGAATGAATGAATAAATTAACAAAGACGTGAATTCCCAATGGCTTTGCTTAGGAATAATCTTTGGGCACCTGAATCTGACCACTGATAAGATTTGTATTTTTAAAAAATGAACAAAAACATGTCCATACTAGGGAAGAATTGAAGGTACTTAAATAAAATACTGAATTTAGAGGGTTTCACGTTCAAGGTTCTATTTGCCTATATTCTATTGAAACTCCCAAGGTGCTATTTCCCTATGTTAGCTTTATTCTGCATTTAAACTCCTCTCGACTGCTAAATATCCTAAACAATTTCTCCATTCCCTTTCGTGAAAACCTGATCTTGTAGAATTTTTACACTTCTCAAATCCTTGGCAACACTCTAATTTGTGTGTCATCAATATGCTTAATCCTTTCCTAGAAACGGGGTAATGAATTCAATTTGATCATAGGCATTGAACTGGTGAGGGGAAAAAATTACTCCTTTAACTGAATTATTTTAAGTGCAAAAGCTGACAAAGGCAGAATTATTTTGAGTTTTTAAATAATTGCAATGCTAAACTTGTTAAACTGAAATTAGTTTCATTTAAGGTAATAGGAAAAATTAAAGACTATTTTAATGTAGGTTAGCCCCGCTGCATTTTGTTGAAAACAATTCCCCATTGCCTTCCCTTATGTCAATGTCCTTCAATATTCCATCCTGTTGATAAGTACTGATGTCACTAGTCTTTCTCTCATAATTTAAGAGAACTATAGCCCTTCCTGCTAATTTGATACTCATGGAGAACATGTAAAATGGCACTCAATCCTACATAACTAGAATAACTAGAGAATAAAAATCTCCCCTTTAGCTCATTTGGCTACTAAGAATTTCTAAACTTACAGAAAAAAAACCTGCTGTTACCTGGTGAATCCAAACTACTGCTTGAAGCGTTATGTTGAAAGCTCTCAGAAGACTTCACCAACATTAAAACCCTCAGGAATAAGAAGAGAAATTAGAGAATGCTGAAGCAAGCAGTGTATTAAAAAAACTTCCTGCACCAAAATGTTTCTTGAATTGGAAGAAATATATACAATCAAAAAATAGAACTCAGAAAATATTATGGGCTAGATTTTAGGAAACGGTGAAAAAAAGAAAGGCAAGAAACATTTATCGCTACTTATGTGCCAGGCACAATGTTCAGTACTTGTAATAATAATAAGACTAATTAATGACAGCTAGCATTCAGTTAAGTGCCAAATACTGTGATATACCTTTATATGGTATATGTATTCCTCCCACTAGGTGCTGTAATTAGGAAGAAACTGGAGCTCAGATAGGTTAAGCAATATGCCAAAGGTCCCAAAATGAGTAAGTGGAATGATGAAGCCCAGATTAGCATCCTACCCATCTGACTCCAGGACCTATGTCAACCACTATGCTTTTCCACCTCTTATGTGTATGATCTTATTTCAGAGGATAGATAAAATGATGTCAGCATCCTCTCAGCCCCTCCAAAATGGAAAGGAACGTGATGAAAATATTTTGCATTAATACTCCAAATATATGGCAATGGCAGCAAATTGTTATGACTAAAGGTTATAAAGACTGCCCTTGAACTTAACCCCATCAAAATATTAAGTCTGTCTAAATTGGCTTAGCTGTCCTCCTCTAACAGATCTTCTGATCCACAATTCAATGTGATTTACCTTTGCAAGTATAGTTTTCAATATTCTACCTAATGTAACGTGCTGTAATTTTTTTTGGTTTTTGTTTTGTTTTGTTTTTTGAGACATCTCAGCTTGTTGCAGCCTCATCCTCTGGGGTTCAAGCGATCCTCCTGCCTCAGACTCTTGAGTAGCTGAGACTACAGGTGAGTGCCACTATATCTGGCTAATTTTTACTTTTCTTTGTAGAGATGAGGTTTCACCATGTTGCCCAGGCTGGTCTTGAACTCTTGAGCTCAAGTGACCTGCCCGCCTCAGCCTCCCAAAATGCTGGCATTACAAGCATGCGCCACCTCACCTGACCTGATGCGCAATAATTGTTTAGGTCCCCCTCTGTCCCTCCCTCCCTTCACAAGAAGAAAATACAGGCACCTGCATTTAACAATCCAGATGAAAGATAAATAAATATCTCTCTATGTATGTCTGCTTTCACTCCAAAAGACCTAATTTTCTTTTAAGGCAACATGAAAATTGTAATTCCTAGAACAATTCAATAAATGTTTTGGTTGTCTACCACTTGTAAATATTAATAAGCACGTATTGAGCACCTTCTGAGTGCTCTTTCTCTGCTACTAGGTGCTGGATAGGATATGTTCTGTTATTCCTACTTCATGTAGACAACGTATTACTTAAGTTTTTATAGTGTAACAAATGACCCCAAAATTTTGCAGCTCAAAACAACAAACATTATGTCACCGTTTCTGTGGGTAAGAAATCTGGGCACAGCTCAGTTGGGTGTCTCTGGATCAAGATCTCTATCATGAAATTACAGCCAAACTATCAGCTGGAGATGTAGCCTCATCTGAAGACTCAAATGAGGGAGACTCCACTTTCAAACTCACTTATGTGGCTGTTGGCAAGATCTAGTTCCTTAAGAGCTGTTCAGTTACAGGCTTCAGTTTCTTGCTGGCTGTTGGCCAGAGCCCTCTCTCAGTTCCCTGACACATAGGCCTCTCCACAGGGCTGCTCTCACAGTATGGCAGCTGGCTTCCTTCAGAGACAGAAAGAGAAAGAGAGAGAGAGAGAGATTCCAAGATAGAAGCCACAGTATTTATGTAATCTAATGCCACAAGTGAAGTCTATCACTTTTTCCATATTCTGTTTGTTAGAAGTGAGTCACCAGGTCCAGTCTGCATTCAAGGGGAAGGAATTACCCAAGATGTAAATACCAGAAGGCAGGGGGCCATCTTAGACGTTATCTACCATAGAAAGTCAGCAGTGCTGCATTTTGTGCTTCTAAAGGGATGCATGCATACTCACACAGACACACGCACATACACAAATGAACATCTACAAAATAATTCTTGTTTCCAACATTTTTCCTTTAAAGTTAAATGTATGCATTAAGTAAAATGCCTGTGTATACTAAATGCTTTCATTCATTCAACAAATACTTACAGAGTACATAATAGAATTAAACTCTGTTCTAAAACTTTTTATAAAAGAAAGAAATAACTAAAATTGTGTTGGAAAATTTCACCAAGACTATAGCCAAGCTCTTCTCCTGCAAGCAGAGACACATGGAGAATAAAGTTTAAGACAACCATTGTTCTTTTCAAATTGAAATAACCTCAGCATTTACTGTTACAGACTATTTTTCAAAATGTTTCCTCAGGCTAAAGCAGTGATGAGCAAATCTACTTGCCTACAGATATAAAACTTCTTTAATATTAGCTTTAATAATAATAATAGGGCTATTTCAGCCTACATATGCCTTCTTCTTTTGTCTTGTATCTCAATTCATCAGAATTTGAGAGAGGAAGAGGGGTACTCAGACTCTGTATATTTCAACTGGGGACCATCAATGACAGAAGATGGCACCCCTGAAGCTAAGAAAAAATATAACATCCTCCAGAATTGTAATTGCCTTAAGGAAAAAGCAAAGAAGAAGAGTGAAAGAAAGCCATTCTTAATTAATAGGGCATTTATTTAAAAAACAAAACAAAACAAAACTGAGAAACTCCAGAATAATCTCAATTTACCTTGAATTAATAAGATTTTGTTAATTGTCATCAGTCAATAAAACTGGGAACTCATGAGCTGAAGTTCGTTCAGTTATAAAGAAATAACATTCCATTTTTGCACAACTAAATTTTGTAAAGATTTATACTAATCACACAAGCAAATAAATGCTTTGCAACCTGTCTTAGTCTACCTTGTGCTGCTATAACAGAATACTTGAGTCTGGGTACTTTATGATAACAAAAATAATTTCTCACAGTTCCGGAGGCTATGAAGTCCAACACTGAGGGGCCAGCATCTTGCAAGGGCTTTCTCGTCACATCATCCCACAGCAGAAGGCAGAAGGGCAAGAGAAACTGCGAGAGAGAGCAAGAGGAAGTTGGACTCATCCTTTTACAAGGAACCCACTCTCAAAACAAGAGTGTTGATCCATTCATGAGGGAGGGGCCCACCTCTTAACTCATACATCTGGGAATTACATTTCCAACACACGCTTTTTGGGGACACATTCAAACCACAGCATTCCACCCCTGGCTCCCAAAATTCATGTCCTTCTCATATGCAAAATACATTCATTCAATCCCAATAGCCCCAAAAGTTTTAACTCCTCCAGCATCAACTCAAAAGTTTAAAGCCTCATCTAAATATATGGGTGAGATTCAAGGTATGGTGCAACCTGAGGTAAATTCCCCCTCAGCTGCAAGCCTGTAAAATTAAATGGGTTATCTACTTCCAAAATATAATGGTGAAACAGGCATAGTATAGACATACCCATTCCAAAAAGGAGAAATAGGCAAGAACAAAAAGGTAACTGGTCTCATGGTAGTCCAAAACTGACAGGGTGAACAACAGCAAATCTTAAAAGTCTAAAATAATCTTTGACTCCATGTGCCATCTTCTGGACACACCCAGAAGGGTTGGGCCCCCAAAGCCTCAGGCCTCCCTGCCCCCATAGCTTTGCTGGGCTCTTCTCATGAAGAACTCTCACAAGTTGGAGTTTTATGCCGGTAACTTTCTCTGGCTGCTACTGTACACTGGTAGCTCTATAGTTCTGGGGTCTTTATGGTCCCACTCCTGGGGCTCCACTAGGCATTGTCCTAGTGGGAACTCTCTGCAGTGGTTCTGCTCCTGCAGATTTTTACCTGGGCCTTCAGTATGTCCAATACATCTTTTGAAATCTAAGTGGAAGCTGCCACAGCCCCACAACCTGTGCACTCCATGTGCCTGTAGAATTAGCACCACATAGATACTGCCAAGTTCACCAGCTTTACCAGTTGTGCCCTCCAGGGTGATGGCACAAGCTGCATATGGGCCTATCTGAGCCATGGCTGGGGCGTTTGAGGGGTACTGGCTACAGAAGCTGAGGGGTAATCACTAGAGAAGCTGAGGGGCATTGCATAGGAATGCAAGGAGCAGAAACTTGAGGCAGTGCAGGGCAGCAAAGGCTAACTTCCTGCAGGCACCATGGCAGTTCCTTTGGGGCTACTTTGAAGATCTTTGAAGTGCCTTCAGGGTCATTCTCCCACTGAGGAATAGCACCTGGTTTCCTTCTATACATGCTAATCCTTTCATCAAAGGGTTTCTTAGCTGAACCCCTGCATGCTTCCTTGTTTCGTACTTGTCCAGGCTGTGAATACTTCAAATCCTTAAGTTCTATTTCCCTTTTAACTATAAATTCCATTTTAAAATCATTTATTTCTTCTCTCATTTTACTGTACACAGTTAAAAGAAGTCACACAGATCCTTCAATATTTTGCTTAGAAATTTCTTCTGCCAGACACTCTAATCCATTGCTCTTAAATTCTGCCTTCCATAAAGCCCTTAGGGGCATGGACACAATTCAGCCATGTTCTTTGCTGATTTATAGCAAGGATGGCCTTTACTCCAGTTTCCAATATCTCATTCATCATTTCCATCTGAGACCTCATTAGACTTGCTTTTACCATCCATATTTCTACCAACATTCTGAAAATGACCACTTAAGTAACCTCTAAGAAGTTTCAGACTTTCCCTTCCGCTATCCTCCACTTCTGAGCTCTCATCAGAATTTCCCTCAACTCCCTACTCATGGAAGTCTAGGCTTTTTCCAGCATTCACTTCAAAACTGTTCCAGCCTCTACCCATTATCCAGTTCCAAAGCTGCTTCTGCATTTTCATTTATTGTGATAGCAGCAGGCTCACTTCTTGGCACCCACTTTCTGTCTTAGTCCACTTTGTGCTGCAATAAAAGAATACCTGAGACTAGGTAATTTACAAAAAGTAGAAATGTATTTCTCACAGTTCTGGAGGTTGGGAAGTCCAAGATCAAGGGGTCAGCATCTGGCAAGGGCCTCTTTGCTGCATTATGCTGTAAACTAAAAATAAAAACCTAAGCCCCCCACCAACTGAACAGACCTGTCAGTGGTCAAGGGAACCCCAGAAAAACCTTAAAAACTGAATTCCTGGCCATGATGGGAAGAAAGGTTAGAAATACTTAATTATACCTACTCCCTTTAGGAGTTTAGGCACAACAAATGACCAACATTAATGTTAAAATAGAACTCACAAGACTGACAAAACAGACTGTGGCAATAAGACACCAAACTACAAACAAGACCTAAGGCCATACAAGGCAAAGGTTAACTCATGCCTGCGGGCAATCAGTTTTGCCTGGTAGCATCCTTACCTTAACTTAAAACATTTCTGTCAGGCCTCTGAGCCAAAGCCAAGCTATCACATCCCCTGTGACTTGCACGTATATGCCCAGATGGCCTGAAGTAACTGAAGAATCACAAAAGAAGTAAAAATGCCCTGCCCCTGCCTTAACTGATGACATTCTACCACAAAAGAAGTGAAAATGGCCGGTCCTTGCCTTAAGTGATGACATTACCTTGTGAAAGTCCTTTTCCTGGCTCATCCTGGCTCAAAAAGCTCCCACTCTGAGCATCTTGTGACCCCTACTCTTGCCCGCCACAGAACAATCCCCCTTTGACTGTAATTTTCCTCTACCTACCCAAATCCTATAAAACAGTACCACCCTTATCTCCCTTCGCTGACTCTCTTTTCGGACTCAGCCCACCTGCACCCAGGTGATTAAAAAGCTTTATTGCTCACACAAACCCTGTTTGGTGGTCTCTTCACACGGACACGCATGTCATTTTGGTGCCGTGACTCGGATCGGGGGATCTCCCTTGGGAGATCAATCCCCTGTCCTTCTGCTCTTTGCTCCATGAGAAAGATCCACCTACAGCCTCTGGTCCTCAGACCAACAAGCCCAAGGAACATCTCACCAATTTTAAATCGGGTAAGCGGACTCTCTTTTTACTCTCTTCTCCAACCTCTCTCACTATCCCTCAACTTCTTTCTCCTTTCAGTCTTGATGCCACACTTCAATCTTTCCCTTCTCTTAATTTCAGTTCCTTTCCTCTTCTGGTAGAGACAAAGGAGACACATTTTATCCATGGACCCAAAACTCTGGCGCTGGTCATGGACTTGGGAAGACAGTCTTCCCTTGGTGATTAATCACAAGGGGACGCCTGCCCAATTACTCACCTACGTTTCAGAGGTATCTGACCACGCAGGGACGCCTGCCTTGATCCTTTACCCTTAGCGGCAAGTACCACTTTTCTTGGGGGGCGGGCAAGCACCCCCAACCCTTTCTCTCCCTGTCTCTACCCCTTCTCTGCTTTTCTGTTGGGAGGCAAGAACCCCCGACTCCTTCTCCGCTTTTCTGGGGAGCAAGAACCTCCCGACCCCTTATCTCCATGCCCCGACCCCTTATCTCTGCACCCCAACACCTTATCTCTGTGTCCCAACCGCTTTCCCACTTTTCTGGAGGGTAAGAACCCCTGAACCCCTTCTCTCTGTGTCTCTACTCTCTCTTTTCTCTGGGCTTGCCTCCTTCACTATGGGCAACATTCCGCCCTCCATTCCTCCTTCTTCTCCCTTAGCCTGTGTTCTCAAGAACTTAAAACTTCAACTCACATCTAACCTAAAACCTAAATGCCTTATTTTCTTCTACAATGCCGTTTGACCCCAACGCAAACTCGACAGTAGTTCCAAATAGCCAGAAAACGGCACTTTCAATTTTTCCATCCTACAAGACCTAAATAATTCTTGTCGTAAAATGGGCAAACAGTCTGAGGTGCCTGACGTCCAGGCATTCTTTTACACATCAGTCCCTCCCTAGTCTCTGTTCCCAATGCAACTCCTCCCAAATCTTCCTTCTTTTCCCCACCTGTCCCCTCAGTCCCAACCCCAAGCATCGCTAAGTCCTTCTAATCTTCCTTTTCTACAGACCCATCTGACCTCTTCCCTCCTCGCCAGGCCAAGCTAGGTCCCAATTTTCCTCAGCCTCCACTCCCCTACCCAATAATCCTTTTATCACCTCCCCTCCTCACACCCGGTCTGGCTTACAGTTTCGTTCCTCAACTACCCCTTCCCCACCTGCCCAGCAATTTCCTCTTAAAAAAGTAGCTAGAGCTGAAGGCATAGTCAAGGTTAATGCTCCCTTTTCTTTATCCGACCTCTCCCAAATCAGTTAGCATTTAGGGTCTTTTTCATCAAATATTAAAAACCTAGCCCAGTTCATGGCTCGTTGGGCAGCAACCCTGAGACACCTTACAGCCCTAGAGCCTAAGAGGTCAAAAGGTTATCTTATTCTCAATATACATTTTATTACCCAATCCGCTCTGGACATTAAATAAAGCTCCAACAATTAAATTCCAGCCCTCAAACCCCATAACCGGACTTAATGAACCTCACCTTCAAGGTACACAATAATACAGTAGAGGCAGCCAAGTAGCAACTTATTTCTGACTTGCAATTCCTTGCCTCCACTGTGAGACAAACCCCAGCCACATCTCCAGCACACAACTCCAAATGCCTGAACCGCAGCTGCCAGGGGTTCCTCCAGAACCTCCTCCCCCAGGAGCTTGCTACAAGTGCCGGAAAAAGGAATGCCCGCAGCCTGGGATTCCTCCTAAGCCGTGTCCCATCTGTGCGGGACCCCATGGGAAATCAGAATGTGCAACTCGCCCAGCAGCCACTCCCAGAGCCCCTGGAGTTCTGGCCCAAGGCTCTCTGACTGACTCCTTCCCAGACCTTCTTGGCTTAGCGGCTGAAGACTGACGCTGCCCCATCGCCTCGGAAGCCTCCTGGACCATCACAGACGCTTTGGGTAACTCTTACAGTGGAGGGTAAGTCCGTCCCCTTCTTAATCAATACGGAGGCTACCCACTCCACATTACCTTCTTTTCAAAGGCCTGTTTCCCTTGCCTCCACAACTGTTGTGGGTATTGACAGCCAGGCTTCCAACACCTCTTAAAACTCCCCTACTCTGGTGCGAACTTGGACAACATTCTTTTATGCACTCCTT